GCGGGGCGGGGCGGGCGATCAGACAGAGCGGAGCATCACAATGGAGCGGGTGCCCGCGCCCTCATACATCACGCTGCTATTGTCCGCCCTGGGTGGCGTCCGCCGAATGACCGGTGGCCCGGCCCCGCGCTTGCCCCGTCGCCTGTGTCGATTGTCAGCAGGTATAAAAATGTCGCACAATCGATCCGAAATATTATCATGTCGGTTTTGCATCGCTACACCCCCGTCACGTGTTCTGGTTTGCCAAATCACTGCATACGTCGTCTGAGGTGCAAAGTTCTGTATGAGGAAAATCGTAGAAATTAATACATTTAATAATTATAAATGTTTTAATATTTCAAACTGAAGAGACTGAGAATATAGCTTATGTAATGAGAGCGATATGAAGATTTGAGGCGAAGATCTGCAATACGTCTTTCTGAGTCTTTGTTACAAGGGGTTCTAAAAACGACAAGAATTAAGATTGTTGGCACCCCTTGGCGTTTGGATCTGCCGTTTACATTAAATATTGAAGAAAACATCAGTATTACCAGTGTTTGGGTGAAAAAAATCGTTTTCTTTTCTGATTCTACTTCGTTACTCGTGCATTACGCAGTCACACCATGGAGTAATTATATTTAGGATAACTTAAATAACTTAGTCTACGGCCACGATCCTTAATCTATCGCAACGTCGTTTCTGACGCGCCACAACGGAGAATGCAGCACCATAAGGCTTCGGAATCGCAACACCAACTTTACGTACGTAATTCAACTTTCAGTGCAGTTGATACGTGCGCATTACTAGCCTTTTTGCACGAGCGTGGCATCCACCACGAGTCTGCTCGGACTTTCAAACAATGTACAAAAAATTCAACAAATATCAACAATGCTCAGCGCTGCCCACACTCGGTGGCCTCCAGCATCGCCATCCGGGATGTGGTACTTTCTCTCGTCCATCCTTTTTTTAATTTTTTTGCGTCGTCATTAACACAACACGCCTCTTGAATCCTTGTTGGGCGTTGAGCGCTTACATGGAGTAACCCTCTTTTACTATCACAGTCAAGTCTCGTCACGTGACAATCGGTCAGTGCATTTTATCCCTTCGGCCAGGGGCTCGACGCGTAGATCGAAAAGTAGATCCCGGGTTTCCTAGCCGTTCCAGAAAACCGCGTGACTCGAATTCGCTTAACCTCCGTGACAAGGAGCGTAGTAAATGAATTCGGCTAGCGACGCCGGCTCCTTGAAAGCAGTTCAAAAAGCTTCCTACCTGATTTTTTTCGCCGTAATGCATACGGCGGGTTTTGAAGGAAAAAATAACTATCTTAGGCGCGTGATGCTTGAAATGTACGCCCTGTGCTGTTAATTCATCCTAAAGAATGGTAATATTAAATTCGAAGAAAGACGCCAAATTTGCCTATGTGCCAACACAATTAAACTCACAATTACACTTCTCGCTCTCTGACATGTTCTAAGATCTACGATTGCTTATGGGGAGTATTTTACAACTAGAGGCCTCTAGATGCAAACATTCTCTAGACCAAAACACACTTTTTTTTTAAATGTATCACCACCACAGCCCAGGGCCAACAAGTAAAATACTCTTGTTCAACATGCAACAAATAAGAAAACATAAGAATTTAAATATTTGAATAAAGTATGCACGACTACATAGTATAGTACTACAATAACATAGTATAGTTTATAAACAAAACAACAGTTCTTTTCATACCAAGAATGTCAAATTAAATTCTGATTCGCAATGCGATTCCAA